TCTGATAAAAAAATGTGTCCTGGTGTTTTATGTTTGTTGATTTGTTTCTGCTGCCCAGCACTTCTGCTGCCCAATGGTAGTGCAGTAATCCCATTTTTGTGTAACGCATATAGCACCTCTCATTTCGAACTACACCAGTACCAAACTCATCCTCTTCGTGTTTTGTGATTTGACCACAACAAATCGTAATATACACCAAGTTACAACTTTCAACCATTTACTAGCCAAGCCACAATTCACCATCATGCTGTTTCCAGTTGAAATTGAAAACACAGAAGATACGTGGTTGTCGTAGTATGGTACGTCGAATTAATCGAGCAATGTGAATATTTTGAGCTTAATTTACGTCTTTTGAATTGTGCTTGCTAGCTACGATTTTCCCTAAGTGTATCATTTGGCCTATTGCAGTCAAGCGTTGTATTTTATAATGACATTGCATGCTAGTGTACTGGATGAAAGGCAGTGTCTGTTCCTTTCGCATCCTCTACCCGTCCACACACCTCCTCAAATCCTTCCAACTACCTCCAAAACCTTTCCCAAACCTTCCCCACTCCCCTTTCCACCGAGCGGCGATTCGTCTTACCACACCACGTCCTTCTGGAAAGGCTTCTCCTTCCTCCCCAACATCCTTTCTCCCTCGGACCTTTCCTTCTTGGGACGGACCTTCCTAAAAAATTCCCCTCCCATCCCATCTCGAGCTACTTCTGTTCGTGCAGTCTGTCTGGGTGAATGTTTGTCTCGTCTGGTCCGTCTCTCCTCGCCTCCTCCTGTCCATCTCTGGTCTATCTCCTCTGTCGCGACTTCCCTCGGCGACGCAATCACAGTAGCTTTGACACGCATCCCTCGCAGCAGTTGCCTTACCGCTGTGATGTAAACTCGCATTTCCCCGAAAAGCGGCTCTTCCGGCCCGAGGGATCAGCTCCGACAGATTGGCGTGCGCCGGAAACGCAACGGAGACGGTTAGAGAAGGCAAAAACCAGTTGCAACCGATCCGACAGAAACCACCACCGCCTTTCGCGTCGGACTGTCTCCTGCTCGACTTGTCGTCGGAGGCATTTTGATGTAATTTAGACGTCAATGTCGTCCAGCGTCACGATCTAGTACAGTATACGATATAGTGTAGCTGCAATCCTGTTTGCGCGCTCCGTTCCTTCCCCCTCCTCTTGTCCGCTCGTGCGTTCCTCGCGGTAACGGCCTGTTTGCGTGTCCGATCTGGCTCCACGTAGTGTGTGAGGGTTCTAACCTGGTCTAACCTGGTCTAACCCTAACCGTGGCACCAAACGACAGCGGTTCACGGCTGCATGGATTCAGCTTCGTCGTCTTGCCCAAGATCGAGCGCCTTGGCTCGCTCAGATGGCAGCTCGTTTCGATGGTGGTTTGATCATAGGTGGCATCGTCTGTCACCTTATGGTGCAAAACTCTACTCGGGGCAGCTGCGTCTAGTATACTGTACCAGGATCAGACGTACAGTAGCACTGTATTGATGGTAGCCGCGTCGAGTACTGTATAGTATACCGGTACCAGGATCAGAAGTACTGTATTGCTGACAGCCGACTAGAGCACAGTATAGTATACCGGTACCAGGATCAGAAGCATTCCTGGCAGCAGTTTCCGCTCCGCAAGGCTCGATCTGACTCGGATTGAGCAGTCGTCCTTGCCGCGCGGACAGACGCGCCAGCGGCTTGGCCGAACGGGACAACCATGGCAGCGCTCGGGTCGCGAGTTGACATTCGCGTGTACTGTAGAGTAGCAGCGCTTGCCAAGCGAAAACCGCTCGTGCGATCAATCTGCAGTCTGGCGATTCTCGCGCACGTACTATGCACGATGTGCGATGAGGATCGGTGTTGCGATGCAACACTGCGACGAGGCGCGATTCGACTAGATATTTGTTCGTTGAGCAGGCAAGCTTGGTCGTATATGGATCAAGTAGCAACGGTGACCAGACAGCAGGAGACAGGAGCCTCATTGATACAGTACACCTCGTTCACATCCGCCGAAGTGGCTCCTCCGAGCGGAATTCCACCAGGGTGAGTGGGTATACGGCGGAAAGGGCTATCTTCGCAGATGCGTCATTGTCCCAATCATGTTACGACAATGATGCGATGCTTCTCCGCAGCAGCAGCAGCAGCAGCAGACAGCTGCAGAAACAGCCGCAGCACCCAGCAGGTCCCGCTGTCGCAACACAGCGCGGCGAATCCTGAGGCGATTCCAAGATACGGGGCGACGGTCGCGAAGTTTCCCTAGTTTTCTCGAGTGTCGCCTCATGCCCTGCCGGTGTGCTTCCCTTGTCCTTCCCCACTGATGCTCCAGCTTAGCACTGGGTCCGTTGGAGATCGCGCCCATAAAACCTTCAAACCTTTCCGTCCTGTCATCCAGTAGAGCCACGCACGTGGCAGCTTTTACGACTAGCAAGCACCTCTTTAGAGCCGAGGACTCTTTGGAGCTCGGAGCTCCGCACCGGCTCCCGCTTCCGCTACGCATTAATCCTATCCTTTGTAAGGGGCTACTGGTAGTCTGGCAGTAATCGAGCATCAAGCCCAGTGCGGACATATTGTCAGCGATTTCATCGTATTGTCACAATCACCAGTGCTGTTTCCTTCTAGGTTCCAATCTTGGAAGGGCTCATCTCTCTTCCCCTCTCCCCCCTCCCAGTTTTCTATCACCCTTCAGTCGTCTCGCTTTCCCTCGCCACCATTCGAAGCGCCGTACGTGCAGCTCCGCCACCCCGTCCGTGCCCTGATATTCCCCTCCAGAACCTGTCGCTTGCACCACCTCAAGTCCGCATCCCTTCTGGGTTCTTTCCAGCCTCGTCGTTGGGTTTGGTACTCAGAACCGGGTTCTCTACTCAGAGCAAGGTTGTGCCGCTTTCAAAGCCTTTCTATCCGCGGGTTCCTTTCAGCTCGTCCGAGTCTGCTCATCCATCCGTCCAGCCATGGCAGTCGCTCAGCCCTGCAGCGGTCCGAGCATGGATGTGCCGAGCACGAATGTGCCGAGCACGAATGTGAGGCGTGCGTGCGGAGCAATGGCCACTGAGTTCCATCTCGCCACAAATGCGGGGAGCCCACGAGATGGCCTATCAGCTGTTATTTCTGCTGGTGCTGCTTCTGGTGCCGTTTCTGGTGCTGCTGCTTGTGCCGCTTCTGGTGCTGCCGGCGCTGCAGGTACTGCAAGCGTTGGTGGTGCTGTTAATGCTGCTGCTGCTGCTGCGGGTGCTGGCTGTATTGCCGGTGCTCCTGGTGCAGCTGGGGCAGACTGTTCCCTCGAGTGCCTTGGTGTGTGGCATGAGCGCCGGGCGGGACGCGGTGTGTGTCATGAGCGCCGGGCGGGAAGCAGTGTGTCGCACGAGTCCCAGCAGAAGCGGCCTGCCGGGCCTTTGTGGCATGGAGCGGCAAAGAAGCCATGCGGTGTGAGGAGCAGGTTACATGCTGGAACCCAGTCGCCCCCTCCGCACCTGATGCTGTATTGCTGTCCTGCTGCTGCTGTTACTGCTACCGCTGCTGCTCCCACTGCTGCTACTGGTGCTGCCCTCACCGGTGCTCCCACTGCTGCTAATGGTCCGGCTCTCACTGGTGCTCCCACTGCTGCCCCTACACCCACTGTCACTTCAACTATGACTCGGAGTGCTGCTGCAGCCGGAACCGATGGGGACGCTGCCTGGTGCAGGAATACATGCAGACCTGGCATGGTTGGCGCTGCGCAAGTGAAGATCCGCGCACCTGCACAAGCCCCGTCTCAAACACGAGACTCACGAACCTCTTGCACTGCCCATCCCAATGGCCCGCAGAGTTCCTCCTCCCCCCGCTGCGGTGCTGTGACTTCGGCACACGTCAGGGGGTGTGCCACGTGGCAGTCTGAGCCGGCTATTCAGGGCCTGCAGCATGCTGCTGTGTTCCCTTGCAGTTTTGGCCCTGAGGCGGGTACTGGCGAGACCACCCTCTCTACGAGCACGCACACCCCGTTTCCCCCCTTCCCCCTCTCCGTCACTCATGCTGCGAAGGAATTTCACAGTCCATCTTTTGCTGGCCTCCTGAACTCCATCTCGCCCACATGGCAACACCACGTGTTCTCTGCCCCTGCCGCCTCTGCAGTCCAGCGCCCAAAGAACGACTCGCTTCCTCCACGCCTTCTGGGGAGCAAAGCTCAGCCTCCAAAGTCTCGTGTGCACGCGAAGAAGCAGCAGCAGGAGCAGCAGCAGCAGCCGTGGCAGCGTAAGTTGCAGAGTGCTGCAGGTGGCGTTTGCTTGGTGTCTCTGTTGTGTAGGGATACCTGTGTGCTGAACAGCCCTTACGTAGGCTCTCATTGCACTCCGCAAAAGAGGCAGGAGAAGAGGGAGACTTTCTGGCTAACGACTGGAGACTCGCCAAGCGTGCACATGGAAGGGCAACCTGCTGATTTGCCTGGCAAGTTGCGCTCGTCAGAGAACCGAAGAGAGGGCTTTTTAGAGGAAGAAGTTGACTACGATGAGGAGCTACAGGACACTGCGTCGTCTTAAAGGAGATTATGCAAGAAATGGGTGGTGACTTGTTTTTGTTAGCATAGAAGCAGCCTTTGTTGGGTGCATTTTTGTAATCCTCGGCACCCGTTCTTTACTGGTCGCTGGCCAATGATGGCTCCGTCCGCCCAGACTTCTGCACGATGGATGGTCCTCCAGAGCTAATGGAAGTTGTCCCTCCGAGCATGTTCTCCCAATGACACTACGGGCAAGTAAACAGCGCCTCAATTGTTATGTAAGAATCTTAAAGACTGTTCTAGTGCCTTGATCTTCAGGTGGCTGGCTGCATTGCACCCTTCTTGCGAGACATCTTATTGTTCCATATATTTTAAACCAGCCTGTAACATGATTTTACGGGAAAGAGTACAGGAGCACCATAGTTCGGAAAAGCCGAGACACGGATATATTTTCAAAGCAGCAATTACTGTTCTATCCCCTCCCTGATAGGAAAAGCGGTTGTGTCGCTTCACTTTCCTCCCATCCACTTCAGTCTGCTCCATTCCCTCCCTTGGAAGGAACAGACACAACCCAGGGTTCCTCCTCTCCCTTCACCTGATAGCGAATTTTTGGGGGATGTCTTATTGCGGTGCAGTAGCCTGCTTTGCATTTCAAAGCGTTCGAATAGCAACCTAGAAAGGTTGGGTAGGGTATTTAACGAGAACATTCTATTTGGACCCGCAAACTTGCTCCTTCAGCTCTATGTTCGCATGGCAACGAGTTGTGGGGTGGTGAATGGAGCATAGACACAAGTTGCCTACAGAAATACACGATACGCCTCCTGTCTGCCGTCCGTCACATTCCTAGCCTCCTACTTGCCTGAGTCATCGTGTAGTACTTCCTCATACCCTCCTAGAGGCTCATTCCTTCCCCTGTACAGTACCACAGGTTCGTACGAATTTGGCTCACATGGTCCGCTCGCCTCGTCTCTTGTCCGCTACGGCAGTTGATGCTGTGGCAGGGTTCGTTCTAAGAAGCAGCTGGCACTGCCAAGTAGCACTCTAGGACGCCTCGAGTCAGCCTGCCAGCCTGTCCGAGGCTCTCCGGGGCTGTCGGACAGCTTGTTCGAGACGCACTCAGCATTCGCGGACGGCTCACGGATGCCCAGGCAAATGGCGAGTTTCATGTCGCTTAGAATCGTCGCACTCTCGACAGCCTGTCCTAGACGCATTCGGGTTCAGTTACTAATGAACAATTCACGGATGCCCTGGCAAGTGGCGAGCTTCCAGGGCGGATGGAAGATGGAATTCCTCGTAGATCAGTGCAGTGCACCCAAGCGTGTTAGGTTTTTGAGAATTCTCAAAATCCTACTACTACCACAGCAGTGCACCCGGCGTGCCGAGTTGCGGTCCAGTGAGGCGAGAGGCGAGGGAGCTCGTGCCGCAAGTTACGCTAGAAACGAATCGCTATCGCTTCGTCGCTGTTCTTTGGTCAGACCTAGCGTACTAGTGGCTCCTCCGGTCAGACGTGTCGTCAGAGCCACGGAGTCGTTATGTTCACTGCAGGTCAGCTCTTACCAGGATAGTATCAGGATAGGTACAGGGTGACAGGGTTGTCTGAACATCCTGACCATGTTGGTTCGGCATATTTCCTTCTCCGCCACATCAGCGGCCAAACAGGGCCGGACCATCGAATGGGATGATTTCCATCGCGTCTGCGCGGCTTCGGTCCGTCCAATTGCGAGGGATCCTGCCACCTGGCGCGACGCATGACAGCGAATCGGAAGCGGCAGTGCAACGTCCCGTTCCGTGCGTGCCATTACCGCCGTGGCTGAAAGACGTGATTGCTAGGTCCGAATTGGAGTGGCGCCACGTGCTGCCAGCGTGGCAAGATACCGAACCATTCAGGCGATGTACTGTAGGTGCATTTAAGGTACAGTATCGAACATTTAGATTCTAATACTGTTCCCTTCCACGCGAGGGGGCCCCTTCGCCGAGGCTGCCCCCTTCCTAGATACAGCATGGCCGAAGGGGGCCCTCCACACAACTCCCTACGAAGGGACAGTGGAAATGGAAAGGGACAACGGTCAAGTCTGACGCCGGCAACAGAGCAGCCTCATCCTCAACTTGATAAGACGATGAGCTTCTAGAACCTTCGGCGTTGCTGGAATCTGGATGCGTGGACGACGGGCGACGGACGACTGGACGACTGGACGACTGGACGACTGGACGACTGCCAGGCCAAGTTGAAAAGGGGTCAGGGGTTCAAGTCTCAAGATGCATATGGTTGAGGCAAGATAATAATGTGTTTCCGTGCTCCTCTGACGGGAAATTTCACCAAGTTGCTCGGAAGGAGGGAGTGGGGAGAGGAGGGGCCAAGAGAAGTGTTGGCACGTCCCCTTCCCACACTGTCAAGTTTTTGTTCCCTTGCGGTGGAGGTGGAGTTTCTCAGGAAACAAACACACGTTCCGTTCTGATAACAAACCCTACTAGGCCTTGCCGTCTGGGCGATTGCTCAGCTGGGGTAAAGCTGGGGCAAAGCTGGGGCGAGGCTGGGCCGAGGCTGAGCCGAGGCTAGGGCGAAGCTGGGGCGGGCGAGGCTGGGCCGAGGCTGGGCCGAGGCTGGGGCTGAGCTGAGGCATGGGTTGGAGGAGGATGGGTTGGAATCTCACAGTGGTTCGGAACCAGGGCCTACGCTGGTGTGGTACGAACTCAGGGGTGGCAGCAGCGTACTCCTGGCGTGGGAGGAGGCTCGGAGGGCCTCTCACCTGCCCCCAGCCGCATCTTCCCCATCGCTCCTTATGGGGCGTCCAACTTCGGTATGTGCCTACAGGTTTCCAATTCGGAAAAGGGCCGCTGCTAGAACGAACATCTGCTGCTGCTGCTGCTGACATTGCCGCTGCTGATATTCCTGAGCCCTTCCAGCAGGACCTGCGCTACACCCATCTGTTCCAACCGATTTCCTTCTGTGATTTTGCCAGAACACAGCTCCATGTCTGTCGCTGAATGCCGCAGCAGGCACGTGAAGCCATGCATTGCGCTTGCCCGGGCTACCAACCAAGATTTTTATGGGAGGCGATTAGCAGCAACGCATCTACCCGATTCCTACATTGCGTGGATTGGGCGGCACGGCATGCGGGTTGAAAGCCAGCAGAAGCGGCCTGCTAGCCTGCTGTGGCACGATGGAGGGTCGAAGAAACAATACTGTGGATGGAGTGGAGTGAAAGTTGTGACTCCGCGCTGCCGTGCTGCTGATTCTATTGCTGCTGATTCTATTGCTGCTGATTCTATTGCTGCTGATTCTATTGCTGCTGATTCTATTGCTGCTGATTCTATTGCTGCTGATTCTATTGCTGCTGATTCTATTGTAGCTATCGCACCACTTCTCCTGCTGCCCCTAATTCGGCCACTGCCCCTGCCTCAGCTGCTGCTGCTGAGGGCGCTGTTTCTGATCCCAGAGGTCGAAGCAACGGCCACATTTCAGACGTCTGTGCCGGCGATGCACAAGCAAACGCTACCTGTGTGACTCGAGGATCTTCTCCATCTGGACACCTGGATGGTTCCCAAACGACCTCCCAAAACAGCTCTGAGGTGACTCAAAATTGCTCAGATTTCACACCACGACCCCTCTGGAGTGGAGTGATGAGTCAGCACGGCCGACACAGGCTGTGCCACGTGGCAGCAGCCTGGCGTTCCTTGCCTCCATGCTGCTGTCTTCCCCACCGTCTTTGCCCCTGGAGCTGGATCCGACAGGCCTCCTCCCCATATAAGAACTCAGGATTTTATAAGAGCTCCCCGTATTCCCTGTCGACGCCCACACGGAGCTCAAGCCAATGATAACACCCCAGTGCTGCGGCAATGTGCTGCTGTCTTCCCTTGCGGCTTTGACCCTCATGCTGGGACCGTGGATCCTCCCCTACGTGCAAGCACTCGGGCCCGTCTTCTGCCTGAGAGCCCACATGAGGGTCGTCTGTATCCAAAGCACCTGCATAATGGGCCAGTGCGCATAATGGGTCCAGCCTGTAACGGGTCAGTGCCCACAGTGCATCAATGCGCCTCAGCTGTCTTTCCCTGGCCTTCTCTCAGCCCACGGGCTGCTGCGTCGTTCCGTCCTTCACCGGGCTCTTGAACTCCATCTCGCCCTCCCAGCAGCACCAACGCCCTCCAATCCCTACCACCCCGGTTGGCTGCTTCCCCCCTGAGGGCCACGCCAGGTGCTGCCGAAATAGCCACGGTTCTCCTGTGCTTTGGACGAATGTAGGATAACGATTGCCTATGTGCACCAGCAGCAGCAGCAGCAGCAGAAGGAGGAGCAGCAGCGGCAGCGGGATCTCGAGGTGCACATTGGGGCCACTGCATTGGAACTGGATTCTACAGCAGGCAGTGCCTGTACTGGGTCCAGCGAGGCGTGTTTGTTGAATCGCCCTTCAACAGGCTCTCGTACCACAAGGCAGGAGAGGGAAGAGAGGCAGGAGAGGGAGTTGGGATGGTTCACCATTGCTGAGGACGCGCCGGGCTTGCATGCGGAAGGAAGGCCTGCTGCTGACACAATACACAGCAGCGGATGCGAGTGGCCTGACAGATCATCAGTTTCTGAAGATGGTGATGATGAAGAGCTACAAGACACTGCATCCTCTTGAAGGGGTTTTGGTGAAATATCTGGAGATAATGGCCTCCAGGGTATTACTGTAAACTGCTATGTTTAACAATCTATACACTAATTATTGTTCCTATTCTAAGCTAGTAAGCTACCATCAGACAGGCCTCTGGGCCTGTCAGTCAGGTGACTACCCTCCACCATGGTCTACCCCCACCATGATGCATACAATTTACCCAGCGCCTGCAAGCCCTCTGATCTCCCAGATCTTCACCATCTCATCATCTCCTGCTGATGCCAGGAGGCAGGGATTCTGCCAAGCCGGAAGAGATTGTGGGGGAGGGGAGAGCACAAGGTACTTCACATCACAGGATTTCGGCGCTTTATTGCACCAGTTGTGGTCCGGTGTGGTATGCTGTGGTGTGGTGTGGTGCGGTGTGGTGCGGTGTGGTGTGGTGTGGTGTAAAGAGGTGATGGATAAGTTGTGGGCCATTGCACTATGGATGGGAGTGGACCATCTCACCTTGGGGTTCCATCTCACGCAGTTGACATCCGTGTCATGTGCATGTGCCTTTCGAATCAGCAGCTGGGCCCTATTTTCCGCCTCCTCTCCCACCGCTGCTGCCGCTGCCACCCCTGCCTCCCCTGCAATCCCTGGCTCCTCGCCAGTTCCATTTCTGTTGGCAATGTTGGAGTTGGTTCCATCATCGCCAGGCTCTGAGCGAGGCAGGCCGGGGAAAGAGAAGACTCGTATGCAATCATCTCCTGCTGCTGTGGCAATCAGCCCACTGGCTCTGCCAAAAAATGGTTGCAGGAAAGGAAGAAAAGGTGTGGGATGTGAATGTGAGCATGCGCCGCATGAGATTGATGACTGATGATGCCAAAGGGAAATTATAATATGGAAAGATGTCCAGGATGCTATTGTTCAACATACACTGCATTTTCAGCCGTGCTATTCGTTTGTAGATTGAAAGTGCGGAACAGAGAGCCGTACATCCAAAAGTTGACGTGGACGATGGTGCGGTTGTGGAAGAATGAGTGACAAATATTGAGGGGCCTGGAAATTTGTAAACTAAACAATCGTAAACTGAGGGGCATACATGGACCAGTCGACGTGGAAGATGGTGCGGTCGTGGAAGCCCGCAAGTGTACAGACATGCGACCTGCCAAGCAAGCAAAACATGCACATATGGGTCAATGAGATGGGCGAAAAGGGCAGAAGAGAGAGCTGCTTGTTTGCGTGGATCATTCTAAAGTCATGGCGACAGATACTACTACTCAAGAAAGGCACTCTGCAGCTTTGCGGTTCAAGACTCTGCTGGCTTCCGTACCATCCCCTTGCTGAGCTTCCTTCTGAGGCCCTCACATCCGACGGCTCACAGCTTGTATCCCAAATTTTGACAGTCAAATCGTCACTGCAGGAAGACAGAGGGAGCCGGCCAGGGGAGAGTGAAATGGACGAGGAGAGTAAACAAAGGGGATGGGAAGTCTTGGTGGATGGGGATGTGTGGAGGAGAGTACATGGACATGAGAAAATGGGCAACAGTACATGTAAGAGAATGCAGGGAGAGGGTGCATGGAGAGTATGCAGCATGAGGAGGGCATGGGAAAGAATGCAGCGAATGGACCTGCAGTAGGGGATGCGAAAGCTGGGTACCTGCAGGATGCCATGTAGTGTCCGGTGGCATCAAACGAGATAGCCCAAACTGTAGACGAATGCCCCGCCCTGGACACAGTAAAAAGACAGGAAACAAGCAGGCGTCATTTAGGAGGGCTGAAGGAAGTGATGCCAGTGACGTAACGACCTGAAGGGCGCTGAGGAACGGAAATTGCTTATATAGCATGCCTCCCCAGACTCACCCATTTGCAGCATCAAGGGTCTGTACACACGACCAATCGTCTTCACCCTCCACCTCTGCAGCCCAGACCTGTCACAACCACCACATCATAAACGAGCACATGCAACAACATGCAAAGCTCAGATTGTAACAATCGTCAGGAAGATGAAAATTCCACCCGAAACCTGGCAGATTCTTCGAAAATTCACTG